TTACCTCGGGACTTGTTGTTGCTTCGCGGCTGGACGGCAGCCACCTGATTTCCCTCACATCATGCTTGGGCGGCTGCCGGGTCTTCTCCACTGCCCGATTGGACTGCAGCGACATGCTGGGGCCGTGGACTTGTCTTTACCTTCTCCACATAGGTTGGCTGCCATGTTGACCTCTCGTGTGCAGCCGCCCTATTGGTCTTGATGATCTCTATCGCCTTGTCTATAATCTCGGCGAAAGTTGCATAGTGCTCGCGATCACCAAGTGCCTGGCTCAATGCAGCGCATGACCTGTTGTAGAACTCACGGCGCAGATGCGAAAATGGTAAGTCGAGATCGGGCGTTGCCGCGATCTTCAGTCATTCCGTGAGCCAGTCACGTGTTGTTGTGTTGCCTTGAGTCATGGTGAAGAGACGGTTGATGGCAAGTGTTGGTGCGTCGTCGGCGATGAACCGCTTCTTCCATAGCCGTGTTAACTCTTCCTATGAGATCTTGTCCTTCAGATCTGCGACGTCGACGTCGTGGGTGGCTGCCAAGTGGGTTAACCAGATCTGGCATCCGCACTTTGAGTTCATGAACAGGGCGCCGATGTACGCGTGCTTGGCGACAGGCAGAATCCGAAGTTGCGTCGTGAAAGCTTCCCACCAGAGCACCGGGTCCTGATGCGTGTAGTCGTCGAACTTCTCCAGTTGAAAAGTTGGCATCTTGTATTGCTTTGGATTGTTGCCATCCGTGTTCGTCGACTGCAGTTGCTGCACCTCGGTCTTCAAAGTATCCTGCTGATTGCTGATGGTGGTCGGCGCAGCGAAGGTGCTGATGTCGTCGAGCATTGCAACGACGTGGTCGACGCGTTGCTCCAGTTGGCGGTGAGAGGGTGCACTGCTGGACTCACCAGCATCTGGTCCGGGTACAGCTTGCTCCAGGTCCAATACACGGGAATTGAGTGCCCGTGTAGCATCCTCGTGGCTCTGCACCATCCGGCGGAGGTAACTTCTGGTGCTGTGTCTTCAGATCCTGGTACTGTTGCTGCAGTTCCTGGTTTTGTCTCTCTAACTCGGACTGTTGGTAGTTGCAAGTGTACAACAACCGTGTCACGAGTTTGGAGAGGAACTCCTTATGCTGCTCTTCCGGTGTTGCGTCGTCGCCGTTGGACGGTTCAAAGTGCCAGAACTTGAGTCTTTCGATGCTGGCAGCTTCATGCCGCTGCAGCAGATCTTGGGCCTCCTTGCGGCGTGCCAATGTATCTGCGTCTGCTTCGGCCTGTAGCCGCTGCTTCTCAGCTGTTGCTGCTGCTTCAGCCTGTAGGCGGGCAGCCTCGGCTGCCAGCTGGCGCTGTTCCTCAGCCTCGATCAGAGCGAGCTGAGCCTGGAACCGCTGTTTGTAGTCGGCAAGAGACTCGTTGGCCAGTTGGCCTGGCATGCCTAGAGCTGCGCCCGTCATGGTGGCGGGGCACTGCTGACGTGGCACTGTGACGTGGCACTGTTACTGCTGACGTGGTACTGCTGACGTGGTACTGCTGACGTGGCACTGTTGCTGACGTGGCACTGCTGTCGTGGCCCTGCTGACGTGGCACTGTTGCTAACGTGGCACTGCTGACGTGGCACTGCTGACATGGCACTGT